TTATGTGGCCATTAAAATGATAATTATGCAGAAACATGAAAAATGTTTATGATCCACTGGTCATTGAAAACAAGCAGAATACAAAACAGTCAGTATGTACCATGACCAAAACACCCAGCATGTATATGCATTTAGAAGATAATATGCACAAATAATATACTGGTTGGATAGAGGTTAGTGGAATTTTATAGTGAGTTATAAAAAATATTATTTTTTAAATGTTCTCTTTAAATTTCTACCCAGAAGTTCCTGAGATTTCTAACAAGCTAGATCTTGTGCCTGACATAACACGGCACAAACTACCAATTTGTCTACATTCCTGTAAACCTTTATTGCCTTTACTCATTTACACTACAATAGTAGGACCCCAGTTACCACCACTTTCAGCACTCCCTCTGCTATGGCACTTGTAGCAAAGATGCAGAAACATGTCAAACAAAGCAATAAACAAAACAACACTCAGGCTACATCGAAAGTGACCCTCATAACCACTCAAGCAGCCTGTTTGTGGCCAGCTGGACTAATGGGCTTTGCCTTGGCCAGAAACTTTGCTTGTATCTCTGAAAGCTTTTAGGTCAGTGGTTCTCAATCTTCCTAATGCCGCGATCCTTTAATACAGTCCCTCATGTTGTGGTGACCCCCAATTTCATTGTTACAAGTTGAACATAATTAAAGCATAGTGATTAATCACAAAAACAATATGTAATTATATATGTGTTTTCCGATGGTCTTAGGCGACCCCTGTGAAAGGGTCGTTCGACCCCCAAAGGGGTCGCGACCCACAGGTTGAGAACCGCTGTTCTAGGTAGAAGGAGCTCTCTATTCTGCCCAAGCCAGAAAACACGTTCTGAAAACACAGCTGGGAGTTGAGTCAGCCACCTCTACAGCCAATGAGACAAGCCCAAATGGATTTCCTGGTCATCATGCATTGGAGGCAGACTAGCTCAGACACCCGTGCTGACCAACACGGTTTGATGGCATAAGAAGGGGTGCAGATCTGTCTGCCCAGAATGCTTTCCTCCCTGTCATCCACCTGGAGAACGGATTCCCCAGCCTTCATTATAGTACCTTCCTGACCTTTCCACCACATCCCACTCCTGAGAGCTTGAGCAAGTTCCTTAAACTCTGTGCCTCCTCCGGAAAATGGGGATAGCGAAAGCCCCTACCTCACAGTGCTATGCAAGAATTAAATGAGTTAATGTCTTCCAAGCAAAGGGAAGAGTGTCTGCCATCTGATAAACACCCACTCACACAATGTTAGTTACCACTGTGCTATCGTCCCTGGGTGGAACTCACCATCCCTCCTCTCCACTCTATTCCATACACATTCCTAATAAAGAAACACGGTCCCAAACCTGGTATGGGACAAAACTTTTGGCATGATGTAATCCCCAACCTCCTTCTGGGAAGAAATTAGCATTGATAAAATGCTTAAGCAATTTTCTGATAAACTTTAATGAGATTAAGACCTCTGCTGGGAAGCCAGATACCCACCCACTCAGTGGACTGTCAGTCGGAATCTAATGATCTGGAAACAATCCTTCTTCTTGTATCCAGTCTAACAGTGATAACCTAATCATTCTGTTTCCCTATAAAATTTTTCTTTGGGACAATCTTGAAGGCTTAAGCCTCCTTACTTGTGACCTGATTGAACTAAAACCCTTGATACATGTTTAAAAGTAAAATGTCTGAAAAAAAATTTAAGAAACCTATTATGGTACATAAAACAGTTAATAGCATTTATTTGTATTCTTTTCTAATTTTCATACTAGAATAAGGACCCTGGGAGGCAGGAACCATACTTGTTTTTAGCCATATTTTTATCCAGAACTTAATACTGTAAACAATACATAAAAATAGTCAATAACTGTTAAGATAATAAATTATTAGAGAACAAATCTTTAAAAACAAATGAAAAAAGCACTTATCTAGAAGAATGGAGGCACAATTACAAGGCACTACTGACTATGGATTCAACTATAGATTGAAAATTCGTTGTTAGCTGTGAGGCCTGGGAAAGTGTCTTCACCTTCCTGAGCGTCCATTTCTTCATCACACTACAGGATGATCACACACTGTAGAGGTGTCATGAGTTGGGACAACTTGTGTAGAGAGTGTAATGCCATGTCAGATACATTTGAACCTCAAAACATTTTACTTTCCTCTCTTGCCACTGGGACTCCCTATGTGACATTGGGAAAGTCACTTCCTCTCTCTAGGCCTCAGTTTCCTTATCCATAAGTGAGAACTTAAAAGTCCCTTGCAGGCCAGGGATACAATGCGGAAAAAATAAGAGAATGGACATAAAAAGGCTTTACAAAGTAAGTAAAGCTCAAGGTAGACTTTTGCTTCCAGCCAAGATGGAGAAACAGAAACCAGACTTACCCCCCTGTCCGAAAAAGCCAAATTGCTGGACAAAATGCACAAAATAATAGTTTTAAGACACTGGGCATCCAGCACTGAAGGACGGTGATACCTGAAAGATGAGAAAAAATTGATGTGAGCCCCACAATTGCCCCAATTACAGCCGTGGGAGTGTCCAGGCCACAGAGCAGGAAGGTGGAACTGAGGCAGAGCTTGGTGTTCTCCCCAAGCTGAGGAGACAGAGCTGAGAGTCCAGGGAGACCAAAGTTGAAGTTCATAGGACAGAGTGCCAGGTAGAAGAGTGGCACAGAGAGAGAACGCAGAGAGCTGCAAGGAGTTCCCTGCAAGTATTCATCAGAGAACTGGTCAATGCACACATAGGGAAAGAACCACCCAAAAGGACTCCAGGGACCAGTATCTGGCACTCACATGGAGCAGGAACAGTGCTGTTCCCACAGACCAGACTGGGAAACCTCACAACTCACAGGGCATTGGTTAGAGTACTCAGAAAGGTCTTAACACTGGACTATACACAAATCCGGTCCCCCCGTCACAAATCTGAAATGTAAGGTCCAATAGCATCAAACTATTCCCAATAATTTAATTGAGTCCCCAAATATCATTTAAGAATATTAAAAGGAATACAAAAATATCCAGCACATAACAAGATAAAATCCATAAAGCTTTATATCCAATCAAAAATTGCCAGGTATAAAAAGAAGCAGGAAAATATGACCCACAATAAGGAGGAAAAAGGCAATCGACCCAAACAGACACAGAACTAACACAGAAGTTAGAATTAGCAAAGTATAAGTAGTAAAAGTATACAGTTTTTAACTGTATTCCATATGCTTACAAAGTTAAGATGTAAAAAAGACCAAAATCAAACTTCTAGAGATGAAAATTACAATGTTTAAAATGAAAATTGTACTGGATGATATTGATACAGATTAGACCTTAAAAAAATAAAAGGAAAAGATGAAGAATAAAGAACTGGAATACATAGCAATAGAAGCTATCTAAAAAAGAAACACACAGAAAAAAAAAGAATGAAAAAAAAAATAAACAGAAAGAGCACCAATGCCCTGTAGGGATAACTTCAGGCAGCCTAACGTATGTGTAATTGAAGTCCCCAAAAGAAAGAAGAAAAAAGTATTTGAAAAAGTAATAGCCAGAAAATCACTAAACTTGAGTTAAAAACAAAACAAAAACTATAAAACCACAGATCCAAGAAGCTCAACAAACCTAAAACACAAGAAATATGAAGAAAAGCATACTAAGACATATCATAATCAAATTGTTCAAAACCAATAATAAAGAGAAAACCTTAAAAACAGCCAGAGATGAAGGACATGTTACATTCAGACCAATAAATATAAGAATTATAGCATTTTTTTCATAAACAATAATTCAGGCAAAAAGCACTATCTTTAAAGCACTAAAAGAAAAAAAACTGTCAACCTAGAATTTTCTACACAGAGAAAATATCTTTCAAAAGCAAAGGTGAAATACTTTTTCAAACATATGAAAGCTGAAAAAAATAATAATCAGCACACCCACACTAAAAGAAATATTAAAGGACATTCTTTAAGCAAAATGAAAATGATACCAGGTGGACATACATTAAGCAATAATAGTATCAAAAATGGTCATTACATTTGTAGCTGTATTTTTTTAAAATAGTTGAGTATTTCTACAAAAAAATAATAGCAATGTAGTATGGCGTTTATAATTATGTAAAAGTGAAATGTATGATAACACTAGCATAAAGGTCAGGAGGCCTTTTGGGAAGAAATGGAAGGAGGAGAAGTGGAGAAGAAGTGGAAATGTACTATTGTAAGGTTCATATACTTATACATGAAGTGACACAATATCATTTGAAGATAGGTGTGAGGTTAACAATTTATATTATGAACCTGAAGGCAACCATTAAAATAACAAAACAAAGAGTTATAGATAAATAAGTTAACAAAGGAGATAAAAGAGAACCATGAAAAGTAATCCAAAGAAAAGCAGGAAGAATAAAATAAGAGATGGGCTGAATAGAAAACAAATAGAAAGATGATAGATTTAAATTTAACCATCAATAATCACATTGAACATAAGTGCTCTATGTACTATAATTAAAAGGTAGAGATTGGGTTAAAAAGACTCAGTTATATGCTGCTTACACAAACCCACTTTAAATATAAAGAAATAAATAGATAAAAATAAAAAGATAAAAAGGTATACTATGCTAACACTAATCAAAGGAAAGCATAGTAGCTATAAATATGCGAATATCAAATAAGCACATGAAAAGATAACCAATATCATTCATTGAAAGGGAAATACAAATTTAAAAAAATTTATTGATTGATTTTAGAGAGAGAGAGAAAAAGGGAGAGATAGATGATAGATAGATGATAGATAGATAGATAGGAACATCGATTTGTTGTTCCATTTATTTATGCATTCATTATATGATTCCTGTACTAGTATGTGCCCTGGCCAGGGATTAAACCCATAATCTTGGTGTGTTGGAACAATGCTCTAACCAACTGAACTACCCAGCCAAGAGAAATACATATTAAAATCACAATGAAACACCACTATGCAACAATTAGAATGATTAAAATTAAGAAAACTGAGCATACCAAGTATTGGGGAGTATGTGGGATGACTGGAGCTCTCAGAGTGCTGCTGGAGGGAGTGGTCAATGGTACAACCATTTTGGAAAACAGCTTGGCAGTTACCTAAAAAGTTAAAGTTACCTATCAGGTAATCCAATCATTCTAGTCTCTGTCTCCAAGAGAAATGAAAACATGTGCACATGAAGATTCATATAGGAATGTTTGCAGCAACTTCATTTGTAATAGCCAAGTGTCCATCAGGTGAGTGGATAAACACCCATAATCTATCCATACAATGGAATACTACTCAGCAATAAAAACGAAGGCATTATTGATACTTGCCACAACATGGATTAAACTAAAATAATTGTGTTGAGTGAAAGAAGCCAGATAAAAAAGAGTAAGTACACACTGTGTGATTCTATTTATATAATATTCTAGAAGATGCAAATAATATGCAGTGACAGAAAGCAAATCTGTCATACAGCATCCCCTGCTCCCCAGGGACAGGACGGAGTGAGAGCAGATGATTACAAAGGGGCAGGAGGTGAAGGATTTGTTCATTATTTTCATTATGATGTTGATGTCACAGTTGTATATATGTCAGAACTTATCAAATTGTACACTTGAACAAGTACAACTTATTATATTTCAATTATACAGCAGTGAAGCTGTTATAAACAATGTGCACTACAGTGAGGAGTGGCTATTATCAGCTGCTACTGGGTATCCCACAGAAGGGGTCAAGCCAGACCCCAGCGGCCACCATGCAGGAGCCAGTTGGAGCCTCCTTCCGGTCATGGAGACAGCCCACGCCTCCCACTTACTGTCTCTGTGACTCATGTCTGAGTGGGAGAACTGCAGTCAAGTTTTCAAGCCGGTAAAACCAAAGCGAGAAACACAGTGAAGGCCAAAGGAGCTGTAGGACCTTATCGAGAAGGTGTTTTGACGGACTCACCCCTCCCCTGTCGCCCACTTCCTCCCCACAGATAGCACGGACGCCTGTTCTAGGCCTAGATGTCTGGCCTCCCTGCCCACTCTGAGAATCTCTGCCTTCCTCCCAGCTGAAAACTGTTCTCCAGAAAAACAAAACTGTGATAAAAGACAGCAGCATGGCCTCGTACCAGCTTTTAATGGGCAAATTTGTATGAACAGGGGCAAAATGAAGGACAGCAAGTAAAACACTGAATTAAAAGCCACTTAAATTAAGAATTCAATAGCATCCACTTAACTAATAAATAGTATTCCTCTTTGCCATTGATCGGTCCAGGATTGTAATGAAGAGTTCCAGGGGCAACAGCGGAATGTCTTAATTCATGGTATAAACGTCACCAACTCCTGGGTTCCTAAGATTGAATGCGTCGGAGAAGAGCGGGATGGAGAGCCCGCAGGAATTAATTCTTGAAACATCCCTGCGGGGTCAGCGTTATTACACCCTGCTTCTAGGTGGATTTAATATCTGGAGTGCTGGGCAGGGCGCCGTTTGCCCAGGGGAGCCTCTGTAATCATTATTAAGTGATGATGGGGGAGAGAGACTGGAGTTGGAACTCACCCTGGATCGGCTGTCTTATTTATTTTCAAGTTAAGAGACTGAACAAATGCAGTGTTGTTATTATCATGGTGATGATTATTGCTGTAGTGTGTAATAACAGCCTGGAGCTGCCAGAACTATGTGGGGAAGACGGCACTAAGTCACAGGCTTCCGAGAGCTGTTCTCTCTGAGGACCATGTTTTGTAAAATGAGAGTTCATTGGAAAGACGCCTCCCACCCTAGACTCCCCCCACAAAGGCTCCTCTCCTTGGAGTCAGGCCCTGCATCACAGTGTGTCTTCTCATCATGGGCTCCAGGCTGGCAAAGAGACCTTGAGCTCTGCCTGCCACTTCTTCTTGGAAAGTAAGTGTCAGGGGCTTCAGCTTGGACTCCGAAGGCCTCCCAAACACCGCCCCCCCCCACCCCCAAGTAGGGATGTGGTCATCATGAAAAGGCATTTTAGGGATGCAGTCACTCCGAGTCTTCCCAATCTCATTGAGGTCTATTTCCTGCACCCAATGGGAGCGGGTGGTCTGGACAAAATGCCTTGGACAGGTGCCATCTCAGGTTCAGTGAATGGGGACAGAGCAGAAGGGCCAGGAGGAGTAAAGGTGACTTTCTCTATCCTTTGATACATTCTGGGCATTGTCTGGACACAGGGCTGGGATTCCTAACCCTGGGAAGTCTCATGAGCATGTGAAAGAACATGAAGATGGAAAAGATCCTGAGGTGTCCTTGCCCCCATTTTATAACAATGCTCTCAGTTTAGAGCTGAGGAAATCAAGCTCAGGAGGATAAAATGGCCAACTCAAGGCTGTACCACTTGACGTGGGCCCTGGTTCCTGTCTCATGGTCCATTCTATCACATCGTGCTTTGGGTCGTTCTCAGGTTAGTGAAGTTGAAGGATGAGACACCTGAGAGGTGGCCCACAATCAAGCAACAGGTGTGTCGTGGACACTTACTGAGTCTCTACCCAATGGACAGGCCCTGTGGGAACTTCAAGGAAAAGGCTTATTGACCTGCCCTCGGAGAACTTACTCTCTCCCAAGGAGGCGAGGCTGACCCACAAGAAACCCTCTGTGAGAAACGTCGGGCAGTATATACAATCAAACATCATTTGAGAGACAGGGCATGTGGAAATGCCAAGAAAATGGAACCAGTAGAGTGTTCTTATGGGCTCACTTCATAAATAAATGTCCCCCAAATAACCAGCATACACAAAAACATTTCTCAGCCTTCCTTTCTTCTTGGACATAGCCTACGGATAGGTACCCATTAACACGCAACCACCAACATAGCATAAGCATGCACTAGGATAGTGGTTCTCAACCTGTGGGTTGCGACCCCTTTGGCGGTCCAACGACCCTTTCACAGGGGTTGCCTAAGACTATCCTGCATATCAGATATTTACATTACAATTCATAACAGTAGCAACATTACAGTTATGAAGTAGCAACGAAAATAATTTTATGGTTGGGTCACAACATGAGGAACTGTATTTAAAGAGCCAGAAGGTTGAGAACCACTGCACTAGGAGATGCAAGGTCATGCTCATTCATGCCGCTGTCTTTGTTTCTAGTGATGTGGGGCCAGACTGGGGGAGTTTCAGGCTGCACCAAGCCCAAGCCCACAGAGCACATCCTGGACCACTCACAAAGCCTCATACCAGCCAATATCTGCTGGCGTAGAACCTACTGGCCCAGAGCCTCCGCGGGTCCCGCTGGAGAGCCATCTACCTTGGCAGTCTCTACCTTCCCAGGCCTCCTGCAACACTGCTGTCACTCATGCTCCGCCACTGGAGAGCCTTCTGTGCTCCCTCATGAATCATCTCCACCTGGCCTGGCCCCCTCTCTTCCCTGACCTAGCGTGGCCCCAGCTCCCACGGGAGCCCTGTGCCTGGGGCCTGACTTGATTCCTCCCGGTACCACAAACACCAGAGCTTGGAGGGTGAATTCCCGTCACCCAGAACACCCTTCTTGCCTCTCCATCTGGCTAAATCTGACACATTCTTCGGGACTGTCCTCCATGCCCAGACCTCGCATGGCCCTCTCTGTCCTCTCGGTCTCCAGTACCCTTGCAAGTGGCGTCATGGGAGTGGCCGGGCAGTGAGATGCTCATGCATCCTCCCACTTATGATCCCAGCACCCTGAGGTCAGCCTCACGCTGTGGTCATCTCGCACCTGCCCAATGAGTGTCCAGAATTAAGGCTTAGGGGACTGGAACAGACCCAGAGGTGACCTAGTTATCCCTTTCTTTTTTTTCAGCTGAAGGAATCAAGGACCTTCAAAAACAAATGTAATGAGTGCATGCAGCTAAGCTCTATGGCAGCCTTAAAATGACTACCCACCCTCCCTTGGCCCCATCCACTTACTGCAGCAGAGCGCTGAGAAGTGTTAGGGCTGCTGGTGGGCTACCTGCTCTCTAGGCTCTGGGGTACTATATGTGGTCAGTCCATGGGGCTCCTGGGTGACAATAAAGCTGCTAGAGGAGCAAAGGACATAGACAATACACAGGAGGAAATACAAATAATAAACCAACATGTAGAATAAATCAGTAATCAACGATATGCAAATTAACCACTCAAGCCCCCTCAAATGCAAAGTAAGGCCATCATGTACCATTTTATACTTATAAATTAGCCCAAAAAATGGAATCAACATACCAAATGTTGGTAGGACTGTGAGGAAATGAGAACATTCATAAATGACTAATGACATTAAGACCTGGTGCAACATTTGGGAGAAAATATTTAGCAAAACATATCAAGACCCATCTCGATATTCGTGCCCTGTGACCTAGTAATCCCACCACTGGGATTTCATCCTGGAGGTCTGCACAGCCTCTCTCTCAGCCGCTGCTGCTGAATCAGCACTACTCCAGGCCCCCGATTGTTAATGCCTCCAGTGTGTGGGTGACATCTCTCCAGTCAATTAATGAGCCCATCTTTGTAAGATATAACATTAGCCAGCCTGGCTCACATCAATTACAGTCAAAGGCTGGGCCGTAATCGTGGGGTGGATCAGACTGAGCTGCTCATTGTTTAATAAGACCACAGAATCAAATCACCTTTATAAATAAAACTAGGATAAATCAGAGAGAAACAAAGGAAGGAGCACTCGCCACACGTCACTTCACACAGCTGGCTGTGTCACAGCACATCCTCACACGCCCAGCCAGGCTCGCCACTCTCCCCAGGCTCAGCTGGATGAAGGACCTCCTGGGCTCTTCTGAGTGGCTGGGTTCCGCTGTCAGGCACCATCCTGGTTTCGCAGAGGTGGGGAAACAGCTTTTCCATGTGCTGGAAAGTGGTGGTGCTTCGGAAAAGCTGGCTGCAGGGGTTGGGATTAGGGAAGCTGGGGAGGGCTACCACCAAGTCACCATGGCAACAGTCTCCCTGGCATCACCCTCCCTAACCCGGCCAGCCCCCACCAACTGGTCTGCTCTCACAGGGACTGTGACTAACTGCTTCTCCATGTGGCAGACACTCCCCACAGGCTTGTGCCTGTGAGCGAGAGAGAGGGCGGCCTATACTCTTTTACCTTCACAGAGGCCTTTGCAGGCACTTTGCCACTCTTGTCTCAATTCAGCCCC